ATAGGCGCTCGACGAGTATTACCCTATCGTATGTTGGCCAATGGGAGCACGATTTGGGGGCGGTCATGGATTCTGAGGACTGGACTAAGGCCTGATTGTTTATAGCTAAATGTTCGTTTAACACAAATACGCTGGAGGTGGCATACAAAGTACTGTTCTGTTGGTATTGGCTCCTGGCACAAATAGCTCAGGCGAACCCTACCTATAGTGATCGCTGTGGGTTGTGGCCATCGTGGGCATGTGCTACATATATGGTGGTCATGCCTGAGTTTGATTCTTGTTTGGACACATGTATTTGGCCTTCTCTATACATTGTTTCATCTCTTCATATGCCGGGAAGCCTGGTATGCTCTGCTTCATTTTCCTATACTGGGCCTGTTGGCTCACCAGCAGAAGTTGGCTTCATATTTGTTCTTGTCGGGTACTAGAACGATTTCTCAGGCCTGGAAAAGCTCATCTGTACCTTTTCAGGGGGTGTGGGACCGCATGTCCACTCTGATGCTTAATGAACAGATCTCGAGGGTCCGCAATGACTCCCAATGCAAATTTTTGAAAATCTGGGAGCCGTGGCTGACATATGCTTTTCCCATACTCCCCCTGGCTAGCCTGGGTCTAGGTCGGTTCTGGCTTTTCCGGATCTCTGCTGTTGGTCTTGTCTTCTTCTTCCTTCTTTACTCTTCTTTCATTTTTGTCTTTGTCTGATTTTTGTGCAGCAGTAGAGATCTGCCTTTGACTTGCTTCATTGTTGGAGTTTCTCCACTGTACTTTTTGTATTGTCTATGCAATTGCTAGCCCCTGCGTGGGCGTGGTTTTTGCATTGCTGGAGTTGTAGCATTGTTCCGGTATTTTTTATGTGCCATTGATAGCCCCTGCGTGGGCGGGCCTTTTGATTATGTCCTTCTTTGTTTAAAACTAATAAAAACCATTGAAATACAAAAATTCCCAGAACATTCGAATGTCATTGAAAAGCTTTTGTTTGCTTTTACCATTTGATTTTGGAATGAATAGACTTTACTGAATGAAAACCGCATACTGTACACTGCGATATGTTCATTCGTTTAAGAAAAAATTCTATCCTGCTCCCTCAAATGTTCTCATCACTGTGGTTGAAAAAGAACATCGATTCAAACTTTCTTAATACATTCTACTCCTAAGAATTTTCATTCAAAATTCTACCCTGTCTCAGAAAAGTTCTGTTTACACTTTGAATATCAAAGGGCTGGCAATAAAACTAAACACAGCAGCTTGGATTGAGGGATATTTTATTTTTCTGTCTTATAAAGCCACCATTAAAAACCTGTGTTTGCATCATGCTATAGTATTAATTCTAATGCCCTGTAGATTGCTTTGAAAAGCTACAAACATTTTACATACAGCATCCATTTGCAGATAAGTTGCTGCATCGTAGGCATTTGACCCCCATATCATATGTGTATCCAAATCCTTTTACTTAATTTGCTGAAAGTTGAAGGGAGGATGAGCCAAAAGGATGGAGATTGAGATGTCTGAGAGGTCAAGCTGGAAATACTTACATCTGTTCAGCTCTGGAAGGAGTGAACAAATCTGTTTTGCATCTGTAAACATATCACCCTAATTGCCTGTTGTAGGAGGAACACCATGCTTTGCATCTCATAATGACTATCACACCTCAAAGAAAAGATAGCAGTACATTTACAAGTTTTCAATAAATACATTTCCATACATTTACATTTTACATTTCTGAGAACCATAAAGACCTTTGTTGTGGAAAAATTAGTAGAAATGAATCATACAAATTTTAGATGAAACCACATGATTTGAAGACATTATAATTTATCGTGGCACTACATGCCAAGAGTACTTTGATATTTCATTCATTTATTCATATGGTTTAAAACAAAATGATATAACTTACATACAGTATGTGCCATAGAGCCCATTTTTACTTTTAAATCTGAACTAAACCCTCCTATACTTTACAGCCAAGGAAACGGCCATTTTAGCCTCTGTTTATTCTGCAGTTGCCATGGCACTGCACATGTGATCAGTCATTTGATGGCTTGTTATTTTGTTTGAGAGCAAAAACAACAGTTAGGGTTCATTCACATGGGGCGCTTTACCGTCGGCCCCGTGCAGGTATGTGTCTTCCCGGCATATGATACATGGATGATTGTGGGTACGGATTTCTGAACGCATGCCCGCATGTCATATTTAGACACAGCAGCTGTGTCCGTGCAGTCACATGTCCCAATAGAATTGAATGGGATGCCTGTAGGCTGGTGTAGGTTGACCTCCCTACACGGATGGCACTATCTGCAACCACCATGCAGGGAGAGTGGAGGACAGGAGGAACTCACATTTCTCTTAGGCCTCTGTACGCGTCATTGGGTGAGCAGCTGTTTGATTGGATGCTGCTACCCAGATGACCTCCTTGGCCATCTTTAGTGAAGGCTTATAAAAAGCACTGGCTCGCTGCAGTTGGTGAACATTTTGTGTGTGGTTAGGTTGGGGACCGGAACCCACTGGATAGGGAGAGGGTGCCTAGAATTAGGGAGAGGTTCCAGAGGATGAGGGACAGTATAGGAACTGTTTGGTAGTGCTGCTGTGTGGAACCTTTCTGCTTTCACGCCTCGCTGCATACAGGCTGCTAGCTACCTCCTGTGCCAGGTGATGCCAGTCCTTGAGCATCACTGTCCACAAGTACTGAATATTCATCCATGAGTGTTTCTGCAAGTTTAAGATTCTGCATAAACTCTGTGTGTGGTTGGAACAATCTTGACAATACACTTGAAATCTCGGAATTCCGTGTACATACCACCACAGGGATGCACACAAAACTTGTGTATCCCTGTGCCGGAAAAACATGGGCCTGCAGTATTTATCCTGCCAGCAGATCCATCATTTTTTAACTTCCTTTAACAGACCAAGCCATCAAGCAAAAGCAGCAGTTACAATTGGGACGAACCATATATTATTGACAAGGGTGCTTACAAGGGTCAACTTTTATTTATATGGCTTAAACCAAAGTGATATAACTACCTAAAGAGCGTTAGCTGATGCCTCCCAATATGGAAAAGCCTACATCTAAGGATGATGAAGCCAAATCCATGCCCTCATTTCATACTCTATCCCCCTTCTTTACCCCTTCTCTTCCCTTCCTATACCAAGTCCTCCCCTCCTTGATTCCTTCCCCCTTTTCTTCCTCCCTGTCAGGGACTGTGGGTCTTGCAGCGGTGCACAGGTCTGCACATACGCAGATTGCCTAGGTGTACTAATGTGCAGGCACTAGGACCTGGGCGGCGGCGGCGGCAATTGCACCAATGACGGTGCAGGGTGCACTATTTAAACTGGCCAGACGGTGACTTGGTTGCCGCATGGTCTAGTTCCTGTACCCGTGTTCTGAAGTGTGTTCCTGTTGCCGATCCTGCTTGTCCTGATTTGTGTTGACCTTCTCCTGCTCTGACCCCCAGCTCGTCCCTGACTACTCTCCTGCCTGTTGTTATTTTACTATTGGACCTCTCATTGCTGAACCTTGGCTCGTGACCCGGCTGCTCTCTATCTACTGTTTAGTACCTACCTGCCTCCACCGTTACCGACCCGGCTAGTCTGACTACGCTCATCCCTGACTGTCATCCATCCATCCCGCTCGGGACCTGGACTTGTCAGCCTCTTCACAGCAGGCTCACCCCCCCCCCCCGCACCCTTGGCGGGACCCCTCTACCACAGTTGGGTGCACTCAGGAGTCGCGACCTGGTTTCAGTCTTGCACCAAGTCCATCCCCACCATCAGGGGCTCTGGTGAAAAGGCAAACTGGGACTTAGACTCTGCGTCCTGGGGAATCCCCTTCTGTGGATCACTAGAGATTCCGCCGGGCGGTGCCTGACACTCCCCAACAAGAGCTGGGAGCACAGGGTCCTAAGATACCTCAACTACAGAATTGCCAGAGGCACTTATTTTACCTCAGGACACTGCATTTTACTTGTAATATCTTGTTTATTTTTAAGATGCGTTACAAATTTATATTTTAAGTAAGCAAATGTTTGGATCTCCTATTAAAACCTTTTAAAAACTATTCTAAATAAAAAAGCAAAAAAACTGTTAGCTGGAGTTAGGCTTTTATGTGTAATAAAGCTGCCATCGACCTTGATACTCAGGTACCCCCAAAGGTACCCCTAAACCTAAATAATAGGAGACTGCTGCAGTCCCAGGTAGATAAATACTGGTGAGAAGGCATGGTCAGTGAAAAAAAGCTCAACACATGCTTCTCCTGGAGCTCCTGTTTTGTGACAGCTGAAAATGTTTGTCTATTCCTTAACTCTTCCTGATGAGAACAATAATACAAACATGAAAAAACGTCCTAACCTTTCCCCATTTATCCCAAATCAAATATATATTCTATGCTAGTTATGTACAGCTAAGATCAAGTCTTTTGTTGTAGTCTACAGGAAATATTATGAGAAAAAAAATTTAACTAAGAGGGCTTTTTGATTTTAGCAGAGTTCCAGGGCTTCCTGGATACAAAAATGTTGTTTATCAAATGATTGTATTTGTTGCTTGGAGGTTCTCTCCAGCTGTGCTGACCAATCTATGGCCTCCAGCTGGTGAAGAAATTTGAATAAGCTTGTCCATTCCAGTGAGGATCTCCTGGCCTTCTTAAATGATGATGAAAGATCATTAGATCCCAGTCCTATTCACTTTATCAAAACTGCTTAAAAATTACCCAAGCAATGATTCATTCTGAATTAGAAACAGTCCTACTGGACAGAGTTGCCTGTCTCTCCAAAATATGGCAACCATGGGTGACCCACCTCCTGCCCGTGCACTTCAATGACTATCTGCTACTTCCCCAATAAAGTTGCCCTTGACTCAGCTTTATCCTTGCCCTTTACCCAAACATCAGGTGATCCCTTTTGAACCCACCCCCCACCCCACCCCCCACGTCACTCATCTTCCCATTCTCTTCTTACCCCTTCATAGTCCAAAATAGTTCTAACCCAGCAGCTATTGCCTCCTAAACATCCCCTATCAGGGGCGAACTGACCATTTGGAAACTCGGGCACCGCCCGAGGGCCCGGGGTCAGTAGGGGGCCCCATGAGATACCCCTGGTACCTTTTTCATAGGCTTTTTTGAGTTTGGACAAGGACACAGGGGCCCCATGATCCCCTATTGCCCAGGGGCCCCATGAGTTGTCAGTCCGCCCCTGTCCCCTATAATTACTAGTGGTTACCCAGATGCTCACTGCTTAGCATCTTCTATTGACTCAGCCTATCATGTCAATCTAGATTTGGTCAATTCTTTTGAAACGTCACCCTGGTCTGTATGCTCTTTGCCTACTACCAACTGTGTTACCTTGTGGCCTTAGACTATCACTGTTTGAACTACTCTTTACCTACTCTGTTTGTCTTTTGCAATTCTAAAGTTTTGATCTTTGTCGAATGCTCTTGAACAGACCAATAAAAAGATTGAACTAGAAAAACTGCCATTATAGCCCCTTAGACACCAATCAAATGTAAACTTTGATTCTCCAAGAGACATTTTGCAGTGCAGGTTTAAAGTTAAAGCCAATTAGGCGATGTGAAAAAAACACACACAATCCTAAAAGATGCTGATAAAGAAACACAAGGCTCTTCATTGGATTCCTCAACGAAATGCTGTAAAAACATTCTAGGTGTTTAGATCAGTATTGCATATATGCTAAAATCTAAACTAATTGAAGCAATCCCTCTGTCCCTCTGGATTCATTAACATACATTAATTAAATACTTAACATGAGCTATAGACAACAGGGTTATGGGATAAGAAGTTTCTGATTGTGCTTGAATTGGATTGCAATTAAATTTTGGTGGGCTGCCAAATTGGACACTAGGGTGTCGTTTTGACTATTGAGAAGGCACTACCTCACCATGGTTCCCAGACTTCTCAGACCCGCATGATTGTCATGGACGACACAGGGGGCCTCGCCATTGTATACAGAGACTGTTATTAAACGTAATGGTTATAATCATTATTATGCTATATTTTTCCAACAATAAAGCACCAAAATCTACAATGAAAAGTAAAAAGAAATTTTGAAAATTGCTGTATTGAAAAGCCTCTTATTCCTAATCAGACTGAATGGCAGGCTTTAGAGATGATTTCATCTGTGTTTGAGAACCAATACACTTGGAGAGAACAGTTTTCTTGTTGAGTGGATGATTTCCGCGCTTTGTGATATTAGCCATTTCATGAAGATACTGATGCTTTCATAATGCTGTTTGTACCGCTGTTATAGCTTTTTTTACTTCTACTCTCTTCCTTAATTTTTAAAGGATCAATGGAAATGAAAGTGATATTTTATGTTCGGATGTTGGTGAGCAGTCTTATCCACTCACTTCTTAGACTCCAGTATTGATATTGACCAGACACAATTACATGTGTTCTGGAGACAAGGGGTAAGCTCAGTCTATATATAGGAGCTTGCACGTGACATGGACATTTATAAAAAGAGCATGCTTATTACCCAACTCCAACACTCTCTACACCTGTGAAAATTATTTTTATTTTCAAGTCAAGAGAGTGCTGGAGTCAAGGGGTAAACTCGCTCTGCATATAGGAGCTTTCAATGGACATGAGTATCTAATATAAAAAGCATGCTTGTGACTCAACTTCTGAGATTTTTACCCCTGTCCAGAGGCTCCTTATCATCATGTCTAGATCAGCTGAGGTTAAGGGGTAAGCTCATTTTATAGATAGGAGCTTGAACCTGATATGGGATTCTTATATAAAGGGCATGTTTATGAGTCAACTCCAACATTATCTACACGTGAGGAGATGCTTCTTAACAACAGGTCTAGAGAGTGCCCGTTCTACAAATAGAAGCTTGCACTTGACATGGAATTCTTATAAAAAGTGCATGCTTATGACCCAAATCCCGAACTCTCTACACCTGTGCAGAGGCTCCATATCATCAGCTATTGCAGTGAGAATCCTCCATTCCTAATGAAGTGGCTTTGGTAGCCACCAAACATGGTAAAGTTAAAATGCAAAATAAATCCCATTATTAAAAAAGTGCCTTTAAACTGACCCTTTTACATACAGTCCAATGAGTGTGCCAAACCAACTTCTAAGAGTCCAAGGTTTTCAATGATAAAATTGAGTCATAGAAGAAAAGCCAACGTGTTTTGGAGGCCAACCACACTTCACCAGGGCTTAGAAATTTTGACTGTGCCCAGGTAAGCTGCTACCATCAGGGATTTACTGCTTGGGACAGTTTCAGGAGTGCGGGTGAAGTCAGTGTTAGTGAGGAAGGAAATGCTCTTTTTTCTGCTATGAATCAATTTTATCATTAAAAATCTTGGACTATTGGAAGGTTTGTTTGGTGCTTTCATTGGACTATTTGTATGTGGATTCTCAGCTCTGGGTTTGTACCCTGTTTCCAAGGGGTTTTTCCCCCTTTTGTGGAGTGCTGTCAAACTAGAGAAGCCAAGTGACAATTTCAGTGACAAAACCTCACTCTTATCCTCACCTCTCTGGTGGGCCAGTATCTCCCACCTTCCCACTGTTCCAGAGCTGCAGCTTCTTGCAGAGGATGAAACCACACATGGCAGGGGACATAGGTATTTGACACTTCCAAAAGTGTTGAATACTAATGAAGTTAAAGGTAAGGAGCAAGGCTTGCCAGAGAGGTGGGTATAAAGCTTTTCTCTGACAGACTTTATAGAGGTGGCTCAACCTGCCCGCATTTAATCAAAATGGAACATTACTTGCGATTGGAAGAAAGGATTACTGCTACTCCCAACCAGCCCAGGTGAACAAGCGATAAGGAGTGGCCTCATCCTACATGTCTTCACCACACCATACATCTTGATTCATTAAGTCACACCCACTGAGGGGTCCATCAGGGTGTATGGAGTCATGTAGGCTGAGGCCACTACTTATCGCTTGTTCACCTGGGCTGGTTGGGAGTAGCAGGGAACCTTTCCTCTTACTAGCCTTCTTGATTGGTATCTAGAAAAGCCTTCACCCCATGTTCTGATATACAGGGATACACTTTTACCTCTACTTTGAGTGTTGCCAAAAGTAATATAACAGGTCATCACGGTAATGAGCTTGCTTTTCAAATGTGACTAGGCTTGTTTATCTATCTATCTATCTATCTATCTATCTATCTATCTATCTATCTATCCTTCCCATATCTATCTATCTATCTATCTATCTATCTATCTATCTATCTATCTATCTATCCTTCCCATATCTATCTATCTATCTATCTATCTATCTATCTATCTATCTATCTATCTATCTATCCTTCCCATATCTATCTATCTATCTATCTATCTATCTATCTATCTATCTATCTATCTATCTATCCTTCCCATATCTATCTATCTATCTATCTATCTATCTATCTATCTATCCCTATCTATCTATCTATCTATCTATCTATCTATCTATCCGTCCCATATCTATCTATCTATCTATCTATCTATCTATCTATCTATCTATCTATCCGTCCCATATCTATCTATCTATCTATCTATCTATCTATCTATCTATCTATCTATCTATCTATCCTTCCCATATCTATCTATCTATCTATCTATCTATCTATCTATCTATCTATCTATCTATCTATCACGTTTTAAGAGGCTCTCAATTAGAATAATGACAGATGTACTGATTTGGGGCTCATGGTTTTGTAGACTACTGAATACTGTATACATCGGGATGAATTTAGTTGCAATAGCTGTCAAGTACTGAAATTCATTGTACTTTTATTAAGAGAAGTGGTTATTTTTCAGTCAAATTGCCTCTTTTTACGTTCCCTTTGCTGAATACCACAAGTCTAGCTCACATAATAAACACAATGCACATTAAAAACATTTCTAGCTCTCTATTGATGGCTTGTGAGTGACTCATCAGGTGTACCAAAGGAAAAATATAGTAAGGCCAGTCCATGCCTAACACACTATTAGTAAAGTGTTACTAAACCCGGATCAGTAAAATCAGTCTGTATATGCAGTAAAGCATGGTTGTTATACTCACTGTGGAACCTAGGGGGTTAGTCCTCCGCATTGTGTAAAAAGACTTTTTGATCCTGTCTTCTCTGATCTCCCCCTTTTCTACTGTCCCCAATCCATCTGCTGATAGTACAGGGCTATAGGAGTCATTCTGTGCATGCTCAGTTTACTGTGTATTACTTGAGAGGTTTCTTTTTTTCTTCGGGAAGGAGCATGTGATCAGCACAGGGCCAATCAGATATGTCCAAACAGAGGGTCAGGGGACCCTGCAGCCTCATAGGACAGTCAGAGGAGAATAAAAACTCCTCCTACAAGCTTTAACATGTGCTCTGCTGGACACTGATAGACGTCACAAGACTGCTATATACTGATGATGAGAAAAGGTATTTAGCAGTTTATATTTACTAAAATAATTGCATTCCCCTGCTCTGTGTACTTTGGGAGACCAGATATAGTGAATGCAGGTCCCTGGGTTTAGTAAAAATTTAACTCTGTTAGTATCATTACTTTTTGTTTTTTTAATTATTATTATTATTATTAACACCATGCATACTGGCAGTCCCCCAGTATCACAATGCATGTTTGCAGTCACTTCTGAAGTCAAGACTGTACACTCCTGCACACTCTATTTAAAACAATGTATGCAGGAAGAAACTATGTAACTATGTTTTAACAAATAAAAAATGTGTTTTGAATTTGATTTTATGACTTTTACCTTAGGTGCCATTTAGACTATTATGTATGTTAATCCCTAGAAACCCCCTTCACACCTATGCATTCCAATGCCATCCATTAGTGCTTGCTGTGGTGTTAATTTTCAAGGCAACATGCCCCATGTTATGGATGGCTGCTTTGGAAAAAAAGGATGCTTTTTTTTGTGTGTGTTCTGATCACCAGAATGGGAAGGTGTGGAGAGGGCCTTAAAGTGTGATTCCACTTTTGTTGAGAAAAAAAAATCACCTCTGGGTGATCTATGTAGATTTCAGGAATTTTAGCAAACGTTGCAGCTGATTTTTTACCATTTTCTGTTCTGAAGAAATAGCTGCTCGTCTCCCCATGTCCTTTCCAGACTAATTACTGAATTGGAAGGTCTATGTTCAGTATAATCACCTAAACAAATCTTAGTGTTCTAATCAGCAAGACTTTGGGGTCTGCATCCCTGTAGTATACAAACCTTAGATAATGTCTCATCAAATATAAATTTCCTATTGCGGTAAATTTAGACTTGTATCTTAGTGCAGACTTCTGAGAAAATCAGTAAGCCAATCACAAAAGCAGGGAAAGACATTTCTGAGGGCGGTCTGTACACCAACAATGTCATATTGTATTGATTTATTCACATTTTTAGAAAATTGCAGCAGCAGTAGACCAAAATAAAAAGATACATTTCAACAACGATGAACTTAAAAACGGCCCATGTAGAGATTGTATATCCACATACCCTCGGTGGTATTTGATCGCCTGTGCGTTTTTAATTTTTTGCGCTATAAACAAAAAAAGACTGACAATTTTGAAAAAGAAACAATATTTTTTACTATTAAACATGTCCAGTAAAAAATTTTAAAAATCAAATTTCGTCATAAATTTAGGCCAAAATGTATTCTGCTCCATGTCTTTGCTAAAAAAAAATCCCAATATGTGTAAATTAATTGGTTTATGTGAAAATTATAGTGTTTACAAATGGCGGTATAGATACTGGAATTTGTCTTTTTTTTTACTAGAAATGGTTGCGACCAGCGACTTATAGCGGGACTGCGGCTGGCATACTGACACTGTGGGGGGAACTGACTAACTGTCACTGACATCCCCAGTGACACCGATCCATGATCAGTGCTCATAAAAAGCACTGACACTGCAGTAATGACACGGGGCAGGAAAGGGTTACCATCTGATGTGATCAAAGGGTTAACTGTGTGCTGTTTTACTGTGTGCTTTCCACTATAAGCCCACTGCTTTGTATGGCTCTGCAATGCAGAGCCATACAAAGCAGTGTGCAGGAGCTGACTGGGGAGAGATCTGTATTGTTTACCTACAAGCAGGGGCGGACTGACAACTCATGGGGTCCCTGGGCAATAGGGGATCATGGGGCCCCTGTGTCCTTGCCCAAACTCAAAAAAGCCTATAAAAAGAGGTACCAGGGGCATCTCATGGGGCCCCCTACTGACCCCCGGGCCCTCGGGCAGTGCCCGAGTTTCCAAATGCTCAGTCCGCCCCTGCCTATAAGTATCTCCCCCATCAGTGATACTTGGTGATCGCTGGGGGCCGTAAAAATAGGGTGACACAATCAATGATCCACGCTAAGGTCAAAGCTATACTTCAAGATAAAGTCACAAAATATTCTAAGATTCGGTAGTCATAGGTAGAACTCTACCTCCCTCCAAACTTTGATGCTACATTACTGCTTCTGAGCTGATCTGCTTTTACCAATGTGATATATTACTCCCATGTCTCCTAGATTGTAAGCTCCAAGGATCAGGCCCTCCTATCCCTCTTGTATTGAACTGTATTGTTGCTGTATTGTCTCCCGTTATATTGTAAAGCGCTGAGCAAACTGTTGGCGCTATATACATCCTGTATAATAATAATAATAATGTGACACCGACTTTGGACCTGACCCCTTTTCCTTTATTCTTTCCTCCCCTACTTCCCTTTTTATGTCCCCCACTACAAAGCTGTAAGCAATTAGTTTTACCCAGCTAGCCATTTTATACTCCTACTTTCATTAGGCTAAGCCTATCCATTCTCCTTGCTTTTGGTTGTATCTCTGTAAACTCTGGCCAGTCCCTTATAAAGTCCTTTTTACATTAGTAACAGTATCCAGACCACACCACTTTTACATGATCACCTTTCAATCTAATGTAACCTCACTTGTTATTTGATGCTAACCTGTCCCATTGGGCCCAATTTTTGTTTTTTTTACCCACCTCCTGCCTGCCATATAAGGAGATGACGGGAGCGTGGTGGTTCTCTTGTTTTGGGAGGACGCCATATGAGGTCCTCCCACTCTAACTGCGTGTGCGCGCCCCCGAGAGTAATCACCAATCAGTGGAAAGAGCCAATGACTTCGGCTCTGTCATGTGATCAGCCTTGTCCAATCGCAGCTGATCGCATGTAAATAAGGCATTTCTCGTTATCGGCATTTCTCTCCTCACGAGCTGTCACGCTGACAGCTCGTGAAGAGGGGATAGCTGGTAATCGGCATTCCTCAGAGGGGACATCTACACTGATCATCAGGGCACTGATGATCGGTGCCCTGATGATCAATGTAGCCCCAGCAGTGCCACCTGTTAGTGTCCATCAATGCCACCTGTCATTGTCCATCAATGCCACCTGTCAGTGCCAGTCAGTGTCGCCTATGAGTGCTGCCAGGGGCGGACTGACAACTCATGGGGCCCCTGGGCAATAGGGTCATGGGGCCCCTGTGTCCTTGCCCAAACTCAAAGAAGCCTATGTAAAAAGGTACCAGGGGCATCTCATGGGGCCCCCTACTGACCCCGGGCCCTCGGCAGTGCCCGAGTTTCCAAATGGTCCGCCCCTGAGTGCTGCCAATCAGTGCCACCTATCAGTGCCAGTCAGTGTCAGTCAGTGCCACATATCAGTGTCCATCAGTGCCACCTAACAGTTCCATCAGTGCCACCTAACAGTGCCAGTCACTGCTGCCTATCAGTACCAGTCAGAGACTTCTCCAGGGTGTCACCCATCCTCTGGAACTCCCTGCCCCAACCCATCAGATTATCACCTACTCTCCTCTCCTTTAGGCGCACCCTGAAAACCCATCTCTTCAGGGAAGCCTACCCCACCCCCTGCTAACTTGCCAACCTCCTCCACTCCTCCTACCACTCCATCCCCCACATCTTTCTCCTCCTGTACCACCATCCCTCCCTCCTAGATTGTAAGCTCGAAAGAGCAGGGCCCTCGATCCCCTCATGTTTTGCATTGTATTGGTATTGTTCTGTCACATGCTCTGTCCCCCTTTGTAATGTACAGCGCTGAGCGAACTATTGGCGCTTTATAAATACTGTATAATAATAATAATCAGTACAGTCACTGCTGCCTATCAGTGCCACCTATCATATATATGAGTACTGCCTTTCAGTGCCCACCAGTGATGTCTGTGAATGCCCACCAGTGATGCCTGTCAATGACCATCAGTGCCATCTATCAATGCCACCTACCAGTGCAGTCCGTCAGTGCCCATCACTGCAGCCTCATTAGCGCACATCAGTGAAGGAGAAAAAATACTCATTTACAAAATTTTATAACAGAAACTAAGAAAAAAATCATTTTTTTTTCAAAATTTTCTGTTGTTTTTGGTTTGTTTAGCAAAAAATAAAAAAACCCAGAGGTGATTAAATACCACCATAAGAAAGCTCTATCTGTCTAAAAAAATGATAAACATTTCATATGGGTAATGTGTTGCACGACCGCGCAATTGTCATTCAAAGTGTGATAGCGCTGAAAGCTGAAAATTGGCCTGGGCAGGAAGAGGGTGAAAGTGCCCGGTAAGCAAGTGGTTAAAATTGTAATCTCATAACCACTGTAACCTAATTAACCATTAGAATACATTGAACAAAAATAAAAAGAACGCATGCTTGAATAGATGATGATTAAACCAGAATTTAATGCCACTTTAACCATTCCCTACTCTATGCAAAATATCTTCCATTGTGACTAATAAGTATAATATGTTCACCTCTGGCTAGAAAAGTCCATTCTCTTATTTACATTGCAGCTAGAAATCTATAGTGCTAGTAGGTATATTCTTGCTTCTTGGCAACCTCTACCTTACGAGGCTGCAGGTTTTTTTTTTTTTTTGTCCAAACTAATAACATGTCACGGTGTCATTTTAGGAAACGTGCAGAAGTAGCCGGTTTTGCTTCTCCCAGAGCAATGGAAAATAATGGATTTCTTGGTGCTCTGGGCAATTTGCAGCTGCAGGCAACTGCACTAGATGCATAAAATCATCTTCAATTGTTCTTTGTTGTCAGGTATTTGAAATCATTTTCAAAGAAATGTAAAAACTAAAAATGGAACTAAAGTCACATTTTACTCCCAATTGTTAGCTACATTTTAAAATTCAGTTTGATCTATAACCAGTGGTTCTCAACCTTCCTAATGCCACGACCCTTTAATACAATTCCTCATGTTGTGGTGACCCCCAACCATAAAATTATTTACCCAGTAATTATAATTCATGAGTGTCGTTTTACTTCCAATACTGCTGCTTTCAACACAGTAGCTGCTTTTAACAGAGTAGCTGCTTTCAACACAGCAGCTGCTTTCTACACAGTAGCTACTCTTTACACATCGGAAATATGTGTTTTCTGATGGTCTTAGGGGACCCCTGTGAAAGGGTCGTTCGACCCCCAAAGGGGTCGCGACCCATAGGTTGAGAACCACTGATCTATACTAAAAAAAAACTCTTTATTTCAATAAAATGGTAACAAGGGGCAACTTTTTAGATCAGAGGTCAGTCTGCTGCTTTTATGTGAAGGTGCTGTGACTTCAGAGCCAAGCTTTGATTGCTGATGGCAATTACCAGGGGGGACTGACAACTCATGGGGCCCCCGGGCAATAGGGGATCATGGGGCCTCTGTGTCCTTGCCCAAACTCAAAAAAGCCTATGAAAAAGGTACCAGGGGCATCTTATGGGGCCCCCTACTGACCCCGGGCCCTCGGGCAGTGCCCGAGCTTCCAAATGATCAGTCCGCCCCTGGCAATTACACATCACCAGCCTAATTGAAGCATTGCATGTCTGAACCCCTCCATAACTGTCAGGGGCTGTCTTAGGCCTCATGTACACGGGACACTTCTGAACGGTGGAAACTGACAGCTGGAAAACGTAGGTTAAAAACGGCTGTTTAGCCACATTTGCATAATGCTTTAGAAGCGTATAAGGGAGACAGTACAATTACAATACATTTCAGTACAGAAGAAGCAGAGACAGGAGGAGATTATTATTATTATCAGGATATTAGCTTAGCTTTAGAATGTGAGTTTACAATCATTAACATTTATTAGCTTTTCTTTCCAAGGGTGGGAAAGGTGTCTGGTGGAGGGAGTCATTAAGACCACCTGGCAGGGGGTCTTCCTGAGGAATTTGAGGTGTGAATGGTCATTAACATATCTCTTGTTTCCAAGAGTGGGAGAGGTCTGAGGTGTGAATTGGTCATTACAATGTGTGACAAGCTTGGTAGGAACATCCTGTGTTCAGTGTTTTGTCCATCTGAGTACATTGAAGATGCTTTATATGCATTTTTCATGATGAAAAAATGCTCTGGAACTGGAAGAGTTAAAAAAAAAATTAAAATGCAAACGTTTATTAACGCGATTTGCTGCGTTTACAAGCATTTACAAGCGTTTTGCATTTGAAAAGCTGATAAAATCGACTGCTGAATGCAAATTTTCTTCGTTCAAAAAAATTACTGTAAAGCAAAATGCCTGTAAACGACTGTAAATGAAGATGTGTACATGGACACATAGGAAAACATTAGGGTGAGTTCAGGGGCTGCTGAAATAAATGCTGAACATCTTCTAAACGTGAGTTTATCAGCTGCAGTGTACATGAGCCCTTAGGGGTGTTATGATATGACGATGATGATGATAATGATGATGATGATGATATGGACATCTGCACCTGTTTGGTCACATGAACACTTTTGCTGCCTATGACATGTCCCACAGGTCATGTAATTGAAAGATTGAAAGGGATAAAAAAAAGCTCATGGCATTAAAAGGCTTAAAAAAAAGTCTGTGGCTGCAGTTTTTCTTAAATTGTACATTCAGCTCTTGGTCTAATGCAGAATTGATCAGGGTGGCTGTGAAGCTGCTTGATCACTTCTACAGGGCATTGATGTGTGCCACCCAACTGACCCCGGCCCCTTGGGCAGTGCCCGAGTTTCCAAATGGTCAGTCCGCCCCTGGTAGTACCTAGGCACAACTGCATGCATATGGAGGAAATTAAGGCAAATGCTGAATTTTCAGTTAC